CTTAAAAAGCTAGATATTGCTAGAGCTAGCTATTAAATTTAGCTCTAGCTATATCTAGCCTATTAAAAAGCTATATATAATATATAAAGCTATATAATAAGCACAGTTAGTCACTATTACAATACTATTTCAACAGAATCTAATATAGCTATATAACTAAAGCTATTAAAAGATCAAATTAAGCCTACATCTTGGGATTACGAAAAAGAGGTTCTAGAAACTTATAGAGCTCTATTAAGAGCCCCTAATAGGACTAAATTAAGGACCTAGATTACAAATTATTAAAAAGCTCTTATAGAGGCTATTCAGCTTGATTTACTAGATATAAAAGGCCTAAGACCTACTATTAATTTTCTATCTGCTATAAGCACTATAAATCTAGGCTTTTCTAGCTACTAAAATAACTAGATTTAAGATAAGGCTCAACTAAATAAGCCTAATTAGGAAGATAAAATACCTAACAGCTATAAAATATTAGATTTATTCGAATAAAATTAACAAAATTAATAGTATTCTAATATAAAGAGCAGTTTTGCGAGCTTTTAAGAGAATTCCGAAGAATCTATCGAAAATAGCCCTAATAACCGCTCTAATAATTAACCTAATCAGCCTAATCGACCTAATAATACAAATAATAATACGAATAATACAACAAATAACGGAAAAACTATTCCTAGATGCTTTTGCGGTCGAAATCACTATTTTAATCAGTGTTATTACTTTAATACTAATATTAGGCCCTCTAATTGGAAGCCTATAGAAGCTATTAGTACTAAAATTGCTAATAAGCTAAAGGAAAATCCTAAAATACAAGGAAAAATTAACCGATCTCTCGAAAACTATAAGAAAAAGATGCAAAATGCACCTAAAAACACTACTAATAACGAAAAGGATAATCCTATAGAGGTAGCTTTTGCTGCTCATAATAGTACAGAAGCTATTACTAGGGATATACCTATATCTACAACTATATCTACGAATTATATCGAAAATAATGCTATTTATCTACTAAGGGACTCTTTTATCCTTAATAGTGGATCTACTATATATATATGCAACAATAAGGCTCGATTT